AATTCAAAACAATCTAAAAAAAAGATATGTTATGAATAAAAATAAAATAATCAACATTTGCCTGAGCATTACATCCAAATTCCTTACCAAATTCGAAATAAAAAGAAAATACAGAAAATAAAACTAATTACAAAAATAAAAAGATAATTACAATTAGTCAGTGAGCGAGCACGTTTTCGACCCCACCATCTTTGGCGATTTTTCATTTTGTTTCGGGACAGCCAAATGCCCCGAAAAAATACAGATGTGTACTCCACATAATAAAAAACTCAATAATTAAAAAATAATAATAATAATTGATTTTAGGCCCCTTAATAAAGTGAAAACGAAAAGTAAAAAGTGAAAAAAAAAACAAAATAGTGAGTGGGCAAATATGTTTCGACACCGTCATCTTTTGCGATTTTTAATTCTTGTTTGGCTTAGCAAAATGACTTCAAACTTAATAGGTATGTACCCCACATCATAGAGAACTCGCAAAACAAAAATCAAGAAAACAATTTATTTTTAGGCCCAAAAATATTTTTTGGCGGGGGCCGAACGCCGTTTGGTTCCGACCCCAAACGGAACCCCGAACACCCGTACGTATGGAGGTCGGTCTGGGGACTTTTGTATGTACGGCCTGGTGACCCTATATATATATATATATACAAATAACCGACATTAGGGCCCGAACCCGAACGCCTGAACGTACGGGACCTCTTGGGGATGCGCTCGACCGTTCAGGCCGAACGCGGACCAAGAAAAAAAAAAAATCAGAAAAAATAATTAAAAAAAATATATATTTGCCCGAGCATAACATCCAAATTCCTTACCAAATTTGAAATACAAATAAAATACAAAAAGTGTAACTAATAATAAAAACTAAGTTGTTTATCATTTCCGGTCGGATTAAGTGACCGGAATATCCGGCCGCTTTATCCCGCATCCTATTTATCCATGCGGATAAACCGGAAAATGTCCGAAAAAAATGTTTTTTTTTTTTTTTTTTTTTTTTTTTTGCGCTTTAATAGAATTCCAACTGGTTCAAATATGGGATTTTTTTGCAAAAATTATATTGGAACCCCGCCTCCTCTTCTTCTTCCTCCTCCTCATCCTTATCCTCCTCCTCCTCCTCTTCTTGGTAGTCGTCGTTGTCGTCCTCCTCCTCCTCCTCTTCCACCTATTCCGCATCTTCTTCTTCCTCATCCTCATCCTTCTCCTCCTCCTTCTCCTCCTCTTCTTGGTCGCCGTCGTTCTCCTCCCCCTCCTCCTCTTCCTCTTCCTCCTCCTCCTCCTCTTCCACCTATTCCGCATCTTCTTCTTCATCCTCCTCCCCCTCCTCCTCTTCCT